AGGACCAGTGGAAACAGTCGAGGGCGCGCGGGCCAGCTGGCCCGGACATCAAAAGTTATAAAAAAAAAAAAAAAAAATTATTTAGTTATATCATGTGACTAGGATTTATGAGTTCAGTTTTGAAGTCTCTGTGAAATGGAATTATGAATGAGAATATCATGGTATTGTGCTTTAGTTTTTTTGTGTTTACTGAATTTTTCCCTATCCGTTTGTCTTTTTTTTTGTGGGAAGAGGGACTGCACAAAATTGTAAGATTCCATTTTTCGTATATGGCATTTCGATCATATTTTCCCCTGTTTCAGATTGCAGCTTTAGAAACAAGAAAATAAAGATGGATATCATGAAATCTGCTCGAGGTTTTCAGGGTGGCTGTCATATATCTTTTAACAACGCTTACGTTGTAAAGATTTTATGCACTTTTGTTCCTTGCAAGGTTTGCAGGGGGCTGGTGATTCTTGGTTTTATACGAGTAAATAAATCATATTAATGGTGCAGAAGTCTGACTTTTTTATGAAAATCATATCAATACGTGGGCAATCAAGCATTTGTGGCTCGATTGGCATCACAATTGGGATTAATATGGAGCCATAGAATATCTTACATGGGTGTAGATTTTCATTGATATTTTGTAGGTTTCAATTAGCTTGATTGTGTTATATTCCAGTATCAGACTTGATTTTGGATTATAAGGATATTATGTTGATTTCTATTTTCTTGATTTTATTCTGGTATCAGAATTTATTTTATTTTCGACATAATTATGTTTTGGTTTCACTAAAAAGAATTATAATGATATCTAGTCTACCTAAGTTGTTTAGGAAGACATGCCCCATCTACCTAAGTTGTCCTTCTCTTAATTATCTTTAATCGGTGTGCCCTGCTCGTTGGCGTTTATTCTAATAGCCATGCGTTTCTTCAAATCCCCATTTCCATTCTGCTTCTGCTATGTTTATTTCTGCATATGTATATCTGATTGAGGTCATTGTAAATGACAATTACTCTTCCTTCTTGAGACTTCTCTCGGATTTAGCTTGTTCTCTTGATGGTTTCCTTGTGATTCAATTATCTTATTTTCTACTTTTCAATAATTTTTGTGGTTTTATTATTTGAATTTTCACCACATTAGTTACCCAAGAATCCCACTGAGTTTGCTTCAACATTTTAAACAGATCCTTTCTGCTTGTTATTATCCAACATCGGCAGTTATTTTTGCCACATTCCTTTCCTAAAATAAGAAGAAAAAATGAAAAGAGGATATTTTGTATGACATATATTTCTGCTCATCCTTTTTCCTTTCCATTTTAGGTTGCATGCAGAGACTTCCCTCACGCACGGCATCTTTGCGTAACATTTCCATTTGCTTCTACTCCCCATGATACTCACTGTGACCGGGTGATTTTCTCATTTTAGCTTTTCCCTTTATATACCATCATTTGTATATTGTGTTCAACAAACATGCTGCCATTGTAATTTCTAATTTTCTAATTTCAGTGTCATTGTTATGTTTGTGACTCACTTGCTCCATGTGTCCATTGGGGCTCTGGCATTTCCAATATTGACCATTGTCATGCTACGGATAAAGAGGAGTTTTGGAGAACTCAACGGAAAAGCTTGAAGGAAAGTGACAAAACACAACCAATTCTTAATGTTGTTCCCCATGCAAATCTAGTTCCGCCATTGTATCCAGTACAGGCCAATTCTTCGGCCCAGAATCAGGATTTTAATCGGGTCACGGTGCACCCTAGGACCCATTTTGGGATTCCAAATGTCATGAATCAAGGCAAAAGTCAACCGTCTAGACCTGCTGTTCCTAGATATAGCTACCAACCACCTATGGTCCCCCAACAGTTGCGTAGTACACACGATAGGCACATTTTCTCTAAAAATAGTAGGCATGTAGGAAGCAGAGGCCCTCAGTTCATTCCTACATGTACATCGTTTAAAAATAGTAGGCAGGCCCGGGTTGATTCGGTATATGATAGGCGTGGCTATGGCTTATCCAAAAACAGTTATGTGTCACAAGTTTCTAATAACCCGCCTCTACCTAGGCGGTATGCTTCTCATGGCGAAGTGCATCCTGGCGCAAGTGATTATGCAAATTATGCGCCCTCGGAACTTCAAATGTCTTCTCAAGCTTGCAGGCGCAATTTTCTGAAAGCAGTTTCGTCGCAGCCCCAAATTACTTCCCAGCCATATGTCAGAAACCATTTTCAGAATACAACTATCCGCCAGCGCCCACTGGTGTCGCAGCCTAATGGGGGCAATACCTTTCATCCGTTACCTTCTCAAACCCATGCGTCCACCCCAGTTTACACGGGTAGCACTTCTGAACATCCAGTGCCCCCGATGTCCTCACAACCCAATATGGATAGCACCTATGAAAGTTTTGTCTTTCCTCAACCTCAAGTTTATACTGCCCCTACTTCCTTGCCACATGATGGACAAAATATTTTTCAGCAAGAAAATCAAATGCAAAGTGGTCTTGGTACAAGTTGCACAGATTTTAGCTTTGGTTGGGATCCCTCTGTAAGCAGAAGCAACCAACAGATTCCTGCAGGTAGTTTCCAACTTCAAAATCCAGTACCAGCAGATAATTTCCCATATCAAAGTGTAGCGAAAGAAGATAATACCGAGTTTCTAAGTGTACTGCCAGAAGATAACTCGTACATTCACGGAGCAGTACCAGCAGATAATTTTTCCCCCATAGATTACAATAATTCTGGATTTCCCGGAAGTACAGATCCTGACTCATTGAGCTTTCAGCTTGATTGGATGTTTGAGAATCAGTCTGTTCCAGAGGCTTCGGAAGTTTCTGTGCCTCCTGGGTTGAATGTATACTCCCATGAACCTGGTACTATAGACGCAGGTCCTCTTTTCGATTTTTAAGTCTTTTATTTTGAGAATGATGAAAAATGGCTAGTAGAATTGACGATGTTTACGTGAAGAAAAATGGATGGAAATTGATGTTTTTTCAAATAATATGTAGGTAGTCTTGTTGAGTTTTTATCTTTTTAGCACCTGGTTTGGTATATGTGTGCACAGATCTCTCTCTTTATGAAGGTTTCTTGTACAGAAACTAGTCTTTTGTATAGCCTTGTCTTTTATTTAATCCCTTGAATGCAATAACTATTCTCCTGCTTTATTATTGATGCTACATCACTGCAGAATTGCAGATATTACTATTACTAAGCCTAGAAAAATGATCAAAATGTTTTTGAATTATGAGCTCACGATGCATACTTTGTTCGAATCCTAATTTCTCCAGAGTTCATTTGAGTGAATTCTCATAGTGGAACTTCATACTTGCTGAATTATAGGATGCATAATGTGTTATATGTCTGCTACAGATGCTTCAGGAAAGTATTTCAGTTGCTGTAATGTGCTACTTTACTATTCATGCCACAGTGATTTAGTTTTTTCTTTCCTGGTTTTATTTTTATTAGTTGCTTTTATAAGGAGTTCATTTGTAAACTGCACACTAAAGCAAAATGTAGTAGTAAATGATGAAAGAACAGTTGCCTCTCTTGCATAATGTGATGATCTTTAAAATAAAAATTAATCTAAAAAGACTAATGAAGTTTCAAATTGACCGTCTTTTGTATTTTGAAAAGCGAGAAGGCTATACTTGCATCAAAAAATGAGGCCGTTTTCTCAAAAAAAACATAAAATTATACACATTGTGTGTAATTTCTACAAATTTTAAAGCATATTTGCATCATATATAAATTAAAGGTATTAACAACTTGAAATAACAAATAATAGAAATGAAAAATAAAAACATATTTTCACCAAAATGGAAGAGTAATGTTATTTAGCACTCATGATGTTAAAATGCAATTAAATGAATGGAAGAGTAATGTTATTTAGCACTCATGATGTTAAAATACAATTAAATGATTCATTTAATTGCACAATGAGCTTATCATGTCAAGGCACTTAGACTGCTGTTGTAACATAACTGGTGTTAGATAACATTATTCAAAATAAAAACTTGCGTATTTCTTTTCTCATGAGTATGATAATTTTTTATAAATCAATTTCGAATCTAATCGAAGATGAGATTTAATTTTGGTTGCCTCTTAACACAAAGAGATGGACTTCATGGGTCTAGTGAATTGCACGATAAATATCAAAAGAGATTCGTGCACAGATGACAACGTATAAGTTCTTCAATCCACAACATGACTTAGAGTGTGTTCGATTGATGTTATTGAGGAAAGAATATATTTTAAATAGTGATACGATGGAATATATGTTATTAAAAAGTAAGGAAAATTTATTGATGTGATGAAAAATATTATTTTATTTAAGAATATGTGTTTGAAAATGAGTTTTGAAATAATATATGTCGAAAGAATGTGTATCAAACAGAGGTTTAGAACAAAATTGGAATCTTTTACTCAAGATTTGAACACAACGATATAGGCAATCTAATGGGTTGAAATAATAACATTGCACACAGAAGTCGAATGTGATCACACACAAGATTTATATTTATGTATTCAGTATGTGTACATTGTACTCTATGTATACAGACAAGATAAATTGTCATTTATCTCTTTTTCTTTTCTTTTCTTTTTTGAGGTTAGCTCCTCTTAGTACTTTTTTCTTTCATTATTACAAAAATGGCCTACGTAGTGCGTTGATTTATCATTAAAAAAAAAACCTTTGAAGAGTAACCATTTACAAACAATTATTGTAAGTTGAAGAATAGTCAGGCAATGTCAAAGAAAATATAAAGGATTTTTTTTTTAGAAATTAAAAAGACAAAAAATAAGAGGGGGAAGAGTACCAACAATGTGCTGATATGCTTTTTTTTCACTTCAAATAAAAAATCACTTTATTTCAGAAGTAACTTAAGAAATTTAACTTTTTAAACTTCAACTGATAAATATAGTTTATTCTAACTTTGCCTTATAAACATTCAAGCCATTATTATCAACCCATTTCAAGGAATTTACAACTACTATCCACAATAGATTTCCATTATAAAATCTATCTATTTATAACGTGATATTAAATTTGCAGGTAAACTTAACCAAATAGGTTCTAGTTTAAACGGACACGACATTGACCGAGCCTATTCATAATTCCCTAATATAAATATATAGATGAAACTTCAATTAGAATTATTNAGATGAAACTTCAATTAGAATTATTTCGATTAATCTAGAACCGAAAGTACCAAGTTTTCCCACTAACTTTCAATTGGCAAACTTGATTCCACACTATTTCCTTGCAATAATAAGAGAATGGACACGGTCCAAAATCCAAGCAAACCATCAAGGCAAATGTCAAATCTCAACCATAGTGGCAAATCCAAAAACTGGAAAGATGAATTCGAGTTACCATTTTTTTTTTGTACGAACCCGCAGCCTCTACCCACCAACAGAGCCCCGATCATCCCCAGGGGCGGAGGCCCGATTACTATGAGTGCGCACTAGGTAAACCTCACTTCATGTGCAATAGTCCGCAAACTACACAGGAGAGGTAAACCGCACTAGACAAACCCGGTGTGATAAGCTCGACCGAAGAAGTGTTGGCAAGAGATTCGAACTCGTGACCTTTGGTCTCCGCGTCCACCTGCTCCACCAACTCGGCCATCCCCGAAGGGGTTCGAGTTACCATTTATTAACAGAATGCAAGTTGGATCATGTTATCCATGCATATTAAGCACAACTCGGAGGTAAACCCCATCATGTATCAACTCAAAAGCTTTGTTTATATCTGGAAGAGTCAAATTGTGTGATATTAATGTCAACCTTAATTTCCTGTGACGCGAAGAAGCAGAATGAGTTTGGATTTGAAATGGTCGTGTAGATATCAAACACGACCAGTTACCAGCTGAAATGGTCGTGTAGATATCTCTTGACCTGATGCTGTAACACCCACAATAATTGAGGTTCCCCATCCCTACAATTTCATAGAGAAATTCAGCATACCCAACTGCAAATGTGGCGTCAAAGATTTAAGTACAACATTTTTAAATAAGTAACCTTATGGCGGCAATCTAGAGCAGCCCTCATCACAGAGACATTCCCAATGCACTCAAAACTATAATCAACACCACCATCTGTCCGATACACAATTACTTGCTGTATTGGTTAATCATGGTCTTTTGGGTTGATAAGTTCAGTCACACCGAAGTTCTTTGCTGTGAATCGCAATTTGAAACCAGCGAAGTAAGTGAGAGTTCCACAAATGAATAGATTAGCAACTACATAGACCAAGAACGCACTCTGTTGGGAATCTGATGACTTCCACTTGAGGGATTGGAGAACAAAGCAACAAACCAAAACAGAAAATTAAAGATCACTAAAGAAAGCCATGAACCAAACACCAAACCAGGAAATGGATGTAAAAAACAAACACTAATGGCTTGCACATGATATCGTTGTCCTCAAACTATATTTGCCCTTTATTGGATTGAAAATGATGCTTGAAACATTTTGGCAAATGGTTTGCAGGATTTAAACAAGCCTTGTAAAAGGATTTACAAGGATTCAACACTCAAGCCTTCAGTGAAATCCTCCAAAACTTGAAAAACACAATGAAAAATTTGAATATGAAGAAGAAAATAGATAATTTCTGTGCTTTGTGGAATATATATTGTTCAATAATGATTTTTCATCGTACTGCCTTGAACATAAATCACATATTTATAGCTCTCAAATGTCTTCTACGAAATGGTGTCAAAAATGTATGAAAAGCCTTCAAATTAAAAACACGACGACTAAAAAGGGCCGAATAACGGCCACAAAATTCTTCTATGCGGTCGCATAGGCAAATCCTATGCGACCACATAGTTTCTTGGAGGGTAAAAGTTTTCGAGAGAGTCAAGAATTTGGGGATTTTCTCGAAATTATATTATATCGAAAATTTATGAAAAGGAGGAGGAAGCACACGAGAAGCAGTATCGAATTCTTCTTCAACTGTAGAACTGAAATGTAAAATGTGTTTTCAAATATAGGATTTCAGTTGCGTTGTCAAATTCTTTCTCAAATACAGAATTAAAGAAAATAATAAAAATATCCCCGATGTTTTATCGATTCTCCTAAGTTTTTAAACCTTTTTTGAAATTCAAGATGCCATGAAATTTCAAAATTCTTCAAATTTTAAAATTTAAATGTATATTCAAAACAAAGTGTTTAGTTAAAATGTATGTGAAACTCGAGGTTTCTGAAAAATTCGATTTGGAATAATTGCAATAGTAGTCCTAAACCTTTAGGTTTTTAGGTCAAATTGAAAGGAATGAAATGATAAATTTAGAATTAACAATTTTTTAAAAATATTATTAACAATTAAACTAAAAAAATAAAAAATCCTCCCCACCCTCACCGCCATCTTCATCCCATGTGCCCCCCCACCCCCCAACCAAGCTATAATCCGAAGTCGTCGACCAGATTGCCACCACCAAATCCACAACCACCCAAAAAACAAAATCACATCCACTAAATTGAACCATCACCTTTCACTTCTATTCATTCTAAACTTGACCATCGCTTCCACTAAATCGAACACAAAAGTCACAGGAATTCCAGAAAATCTACTTGAGTGATCTTTATGTATTTCTCTTCTCCCATGGTGTACATGGTTTCTATTTTCTCGTCCATAAAATTCATTTTTGACAAATTTTGTGATCTCTTAACAAGATCCAAACCAGAAATCATGGATTCACAAAGGGGACTCTCTACACCAAATATAAGGACGGTGCCATTTGGTTTCAAGGAGGAAAAAGTGCATACTGATTATAGCAATAGCCTAATTTGCTTGGACAGTTTCAAATAGGGAAAGTGCAACACATTGGTTAGTACTCGATCGGATGTTCTATGTTGCTATTGCGGTAAGGGATTCTCCACCAGTAATTTCTTGTAGAATTGAATTGA